CTTTCATAGACTTTGATAACACCCAGCCCACCCCCTGCTTCATGCTTTGTGTTCAAATTTGTATTGGTTCTTCTTAGATCATTAAGTTCCTTTCATAATCCTGTGAATTTATTGATTAGTTTAGGGAGGTAGAATCTTTACTTTTGACTTTTCTTACCCTTGAACATGTGTCTCTCATTTATTCGCATTTTTTTTAATTCTTCAGAAAAGATTTTTACCTTTCCACATCAGGGTCCTGCACGGTTTTTTTGTTAGTTTTAACACTGTCGTTTCTGTTGTTGCTGTGTTTTTTCTTAGATTTTTGGGTTTTTTAATGTTTTGGATATATATGTGACCTCATACCCAACATCTTGGTAAACATATATCTGTTGTCTTTTTCCCTTTGACTTTTCTATGTAGATGATTACATTATATGAAAATAATGGCACGTTTTCTTCCCTTCCTTAACAGTTTTTGCATCTTACTTCCTCTTCTTGCTTGTGGTAGTAACACTCTAGAAGAGCAGTGAATAGTAGAGGCAACAGTGGGCATCCTTGTCTTTTTTCTGGCTTTAATAGAAATATTTAAAAAGTTTCACCATTAAGTTTGCTACAGTTTCTCTAACAGGTTAGATATTTCCCTTCTATTCCTAATGTTTGTTTTTTAAAATAATCTTTCTTTTTGGCTTTTTTTTCATTGTTTTCTGCTTTGTCTTTATTATTCCTTCTGTTTTCTTGTTTCTGTAATAACACTGGAATTATTTTTTTAGCTTCTTGAGCTAAGTACTCAACTCATTTATTTTCAGTCTTTTAAAAAAATGTATTATTCATTATACATGAGAGTCTGCATACTGTGTCATTCTGTTTATGTGACGTATTCTGGTTTGACAAAGCTAGAGGGATGAAAAACAGGTCAGTGGTTGCCTGGAGGTTCAGGAAAGGATTGATTAAGGGACATTAGTACAATTTTTATTGTGATGGAATTGACTCATATCTTGATTGTACTGGTGGTTACATGTACAGAACAGTAAAATATAAAGGGTGCGTTTTATTATATGTAAATTGTATACCAGTTTGGAAAAATCCAGTGGACACAAAAAAATGTATGTAAGATAATTCTACTTTTAAGAATGTATATTTTAAAAGGTTATGAGTTTTTTGTAAGGACTGCTTTAGTTATATCCAGTGTATTTTTATATATAACACTTCAAAATGGGAAGGGAAATTTTTTATTTTTATTTTTTAGATTTTTATTTATTTGACAGAGAGAGACACAGTGAGAGAGGGAACACAAGCAGGGGGAGTGGGAGAGGGAGAAGCAGGCTTCCCACTGAGCAAAACCTGATACGGGGCTTGATCCCAGGACTCTGGGATCATGACCTGAGCCCAAGGCAGATGATCAACGACTGAACCACCCAGGTGCCCTTATTTTCATTGTTTTGAATTTTAATGTATTCGGGTGTTTTAAGAATCAAATTAATGTGAAAACTATATAACTTACAAAGTAATATTACCAAGTAACATAAGAAAGGGATACTCTCAGGGAGCCTGGGTGGCTCAGTCAGTTAAGTATCTGCTTTTGGCTCAGGTCATGAGCCCAGGGTCCTGTGCTGAAGCCCTCCATTGGCCTCCTTGCTTGGTGGGGAGTCTGCTTCTTCCTCTCCATCTGCCTCTTCTATCCTTCCCCATGCTTGTGTGCTCGCTCTCTCTCTATCTCAGATAAATAAGATTATTTTTTAAGATTTTTTTTATTCATTTGACAGAGATCACAAGTAGGTGGAGAGGCAGGCAGAGAGAGAGAGAGGAGGAAGCAGGCTCCCCACCGAGTAGAGAGCCAGATGTGGGGCTCAATCCCAGGACTCTGGGATCATGACCCAAGCTGAAGGCAGAAGCTTTAACCCCCTGAGCCACCCAGGCACCACAATAAATAAAATCTTAAAAAAAAAAAAAAAAAAAGAAAGGGATGCTCTCATCCCTTTTCTGATCTACCCCATTCCTCCCTACCCATTGTATGTGTCTTTCCATTGTTTTTCTCATACACATACAAATATGCATATTTTTCCTTACTTTTTTTTTTTTTTTAAGATTTATTTATTTAGAGAGAGAGAGAGAGGAAGAGGGAGGGGGAGAGATTCACAGGCAGATCTCACAGCCCTGAAATCATGATCTGGACCAAAATCTAGAGTCAGATGCTTAACAGACTGAGACACCAGGTGCCTCTTTTCTCTTCCTTTTAACACAAAAGTTAGCATATTATAAACATTGTTCTGTATCTTCCTTCTCCACTTAATCTATTCTAAAAATCTTTCATGTCAGTACTTAGAAAATATCTTCATTCTTTTTTTTAAACATCTGTATAGTATTCCATTTTTTATGTAAGTGATCCCTTATTAATGATCCCTTGAGTTGTTTCTAATCATTTGCTATTATAATGTAGCTAATGACAGTAAAATGTCTCCATATATATATATATATATATATATATATATATATATATATATATATATAT